CGCCTTGGGCTACCAGGATATCATGCTGCATCTTTGCTCCGTACGTGCGAACCGCATTGGCCTATCACGGCCGTCCGCTCCTCCGGCCTCTTCAACGGCAAAGCAGCCATGCCCAATGCTATGCGCTGGCCTCGGCAGATTCGCCCAGCCTAATCTATGTACGATTAATTGAATGCCTTCCGCCTTTTTGACTCTTGTTCTGGGGCCTCACCTGACACCACCCTCTCCATCTGGCCTCTTGCGTGCCTTCTTGCCTTTTGCTTCTGCCTCGTTTGTCTTCGACTTTCTCTCTCACACACACTCTCCCCGTATCTCTCTCTCTACCTCTTCACCTCTCTCCAGACTACAACACATCACCTCACGTCATGTTGCATCTCCAATCTTATCTCTTTCTTTCAAACAACAACCCAATTCTTCCCCAATTCACTGATCCAACTCATCCGTAGCTACTCCGTACTCCGTAACCAGTCAAACACCAAATCCTTGCCCTCCAAATGGGCTCTCTCCCCATATGCATTGCAAACTCAACTTACATGGCCAGCTCCGTTTCCCTGCCGTCTCTGTATCTCTACATTGCCTTACAAGTACATGCCATACCTCCTCCGTACCGTACAAGCACATCCACGTCGTACGTGTCCAGGCCCGGCCACCTGCTTCCTACATGTACATGCGTCCTGCATCCCGCACGTCCCCCCCAGCCCAGCCACAGCATTTGGCTCTCTCTCTCACCGCAGTTGACCAAGCAGGGAGACCAAAAATGCTACCCTGTCAAAGACACTACACCCCCGTTTTCTCGTAGTGCCCAACCATTCTTGTCTTCTTTGCCTTTCTGACTGCTTTTCTTCATCTCAGTCTGTTTTGGCTTGGGTCTAATTTCTGCAATGCAGAGACTATTGCAATTGCGTACCTACCACCTACATAAAGCACCTGAATCATGTAAATATTGATGCTTGCTTACATTAGCAAAAAGGCATGTTACATACTTACTCGTGCTGCCTTTGGGTTCTACATGCAGCATACCCAAAATTAGGCAAGGCCGTGGTGCTTGCTTGTTCGTAGACAGGGGGCCCGTATTGGATCTTTGCTTGGACAGACCTCGTTAGTCAGTATGGAGTAACTACGGAGCTCCTCGCACATGAATGCGTTGTCCGACATGCATTCCACAAGTCTAGATGTCTCGCTGTCTGGTGCTGTCAAGAACAGGGGAGTGGCTAGTCAGTTCTCCAGCTATCAAAATGTTACATGTCGTCGAGGTTAGCTGTGTGTGTGCAAGGCATCGGTAGCGAGATGCAGAAGAACAATCTCCGTTCATAAACAAGTATTTTGGCTGCATGTACTACGTAGTAAATAGTAAAGGAAAAAAAAGGATATCGTAGTAAATACTAGAAGAATGTAGTTATAGTAAGAAACACTAGAAAGATGTAGCCATCATAACAGATACCAGAGGAATATAGCTACAGTGGCATATGTTAGACGAACATAACTACCTGTATATTAGCAACAATTCGTGGCAATACCAGATATTCACAAAACTAGATAGTTATCTGTTAACTAGGCAAATTCCTCTAATGGTAAAAAAATGGCTTTCTTTTTCGATGCTCCAACTCCAAGCAGTCGACAAGCTGCTGTATACAAATAGCCAACTTAAGATGCTGAATCCATGTAGTTATTCCCTATATGCATCCGTGCACGGAGATATTAATTCCATACACGTATAGAATATTCCTCCTTATACCAACGATGCATTATGTATACAGCTTCCATCATATGCGGTGCTGACTACCTAGGAACTTACCAGTCTTGCAAGACCAAATAGGCCCGTTATCGTACATGCAGTGTCGCAGCGTGCAAGGCAATTACTCATACAACAAAAGCACCGACCGGCCGAAACAGCTGTTGTTTGCAGATCTGATATCTCTGCACAGGTGATGGATGCTCGCATCTCCTTGTCTGCACTAGTATTACTACCTAGTAACGTAACTACCTATACATTCCTTGCCTTGTTCGATCTTGTTCGGTGAGAACCAGACTAAGAAAGCTGTCAGCCAGCATTTCCCGATTCATATGCTCTGCCAGCTAATGATCTTGTCATTGTTCCACGGATTAGCATCCATGGATATGTAATAGACAGACGACAGTGGAGAGATAGTTTGTCTCAGACAATAACAACTCACAAATTGGTTATATCCAGTTGCTATTCCGCATATAGTAGTATATTTACTTCACCACTCACTTTCCATCTCGACGAGTCAGGTAAAATCAAAACGTAAAATTGGGCATAGTGGTACGAAATAGGTGTCTTTAATATGAAAAAAGTCTAGCTAGGTTGGTTTTTGCCGCACTCCCTGCGGCGACGCCCCAATAATCTACCCCCAACGAGGTACCAAGGGTATTATAGCCTTGCCCTCTCCAGTCGAGCTCATGTAAACCCGGAAATCCCCTTCCTTTATCATAAACGGTCATTCCAGCTGCCGATGGCTTAATCCTCAAGTAATCCGGGATGTCCCAGCATCATCAATAAAACACTTTTCGCCGTCGTGCGATTCGTTTACAGATCATCGTCAGACAGCTCACCAGGAAGAGGCATGGCGGCGGCCTCGTCCATCTCCTTCTTGTACTGCTCCAAGAGAGCCTCGTCGACCTGGGCGGTGGGAGGAGCCAGGGCGGGGGCAGCAACGAACTCCTATATTGACAGCCAGTCAGCGCATTGTCACGATATATTGGAACTTCACGGTAACGGGAATACTAACCAAGGCGGGGTTGCCAACGAGCTTGCGGGCCAGCCACAGGAAGGGCTTCTCGAAGTTGTAGTTGGACTTGGCGGAGATGTCGTAGTACTGGAGATTCTTCTTTCGGTGGAAGGTGATGGTCTTGGCCTTAACCTTTCGCTCCTTCACATCAACCTTGTTACCGCACAGGACGATGGGGATGTTCTCGCAAACGCGGACAAGATCACCTGTAATAATGAGTCAGTACCACTATCCAATACGGTTTATGTTCAGGATGGATATCCAAGGAGGGTGACGTACGATGCCAGTTGGGGACGTTCTTGTATGTAATACGGGATGTCACATCGAACATGATGATACCGCACTGGCCGTTGATGTAGTAACCATCACGGAGACCACCGAACTTCTCCTGACCGGCGGTATCCCACACATCGAACTGGATCTGACCGTAGTTCTGGTTGCATATCAGTATATGTGGCGCACTATCGACGGCGGCGGTGTGTTGGAACTCACGGTGGTGAAGCCAAGGGGGTGAACCTCGACACCGAGGGTAGCCATGTACTTCTTCTCAAATTCACCAGTCAAGTGACGCTTGACAAAGGTGGTCTATTGCGTCAAAGGTTTGTTAGCGAGTGGTGGACGCCAAGGCGTAGATCGCCATCAGGGAAAAGAAAAAAAAAAATCATCGTTCGCCACGACAGGCAAGAGCATCGATTTCGATCTCGTTTGCGTGCAGCGCCGATTGATTTCCATGAACCAAGAAATAACACACCTTGCCGGTACCACCATCGCCGACAAGCACAAGCTTGAAGGTAGGAGTCTGTTGCTCAGCCATATTGACGGCTCGAGTGATTAGCGACGAGCGTGAGGTGATGTAAACAGGCGGGGTCCTGCGAGATGGCGTTAGTCTGATTGATTTCGAATCCTGAACGCGAGCAACGGTTTGTTGATGTGCATGGAAATCTAAAACGGCCGGCAGCTCATCCAGACGGGCGCGAGAGAGGGAAAATCAAGGCAAAACCAATAGGTTGGGCACATACCTTGTGGGTTTTTGGACGACGCGAGGGTGGTGTGGACGTCGAAAAGTTGCACCGGATGGTCTTTGACCTGAGTTCTTTTGAAGGCGGCGGGGAACTGGAGACAAGGGAGCAAGACCTTGCCTCCCATCATCAAGCGAAAAATTCAGTCGCCAGGGGTGGGCTGCCCGCACGTGACATCACCGCCCTCGCCCGCTACCTGCGAGGACCTGGAATCAGCCCCTCCCTGCCTCGTTTTCCCTCTTTCTGCCAGCAGACGGAGGTTCTGCCATGTACCGCGCCAGCCAAGCAGCGAGAAGCGCCGGCAGTAAAAGCTTGTTGCAGGGCAGCTCGCGTGCCTACCGCCTGCCTGTTTGGGGCCTGCAGACCCAGCTGGGATCCATCATCTCTTCTGGTCTGTTCTCCGTCCTTCGTAGCGCAAGCCGCGATGCTGCCCAGGCGGTACCGAGCAGGTACTGGAGGCTGGAGGCTGGAGGCTGTATGTACAACCAACGCAGAGCAGCTGCAAGCGCCCAGGAGCAATGTCTCAGGGCCCAACGAATGTGCGGTGAACGAGCTGCTACTGCAACGCCGATTGTTTGATGCAAGCAAGGGAGTTGTTTGCTCTCATCCTTGATTCACTTTAATGCTTGTTATTACTCTAAGAGCCAGGCTGAAAAAGGTACTTTGCAAGTGCTTAATACCGGCATGATATGTACTGCTACTGCTGAATCTCCATTCTGCCTTATACTCCATGTCTGCAATTGGCATAATCGCATCAATACTTGCTGCCTTTTAATACAGCAGTACTTAGTCGCACCAGGGTAAGCCAGCGGTGCCACAAGTTGGCAATATCAATCGTTATTCTTCTCAACAATCCATCCCATCAAGCAGTTTTCACATGACCAACCTTGATATCTTGGCTTTCTGCAGTTCTGCACAGCATCATGACGCAACTTTTACCCCCCTGTTGCCGCACCGGCTTTGTCAGCATCTTCCTGGTGCCTAACTAACCCGCCCAATTGCCGCGTCAAGCTTCTCTCAGCAAAAACGTTATACGAGTATCATGACCAGTCTCCTGTCTACGATGACGCCGACAGGTGCCTAAGCGCGTGATAGATGGCAATACAGCAATAACTCGACAACGACAGTTTGGTCTTGGTATGGCGCCACTGACACGGGCGTGACCGAATTTCCATCAATCCAGAGCTGCTGATTCGGTCAATTCGTGAGGACATTGTATCCCGATGACAGGCTACAGAGGCAAAATGTGACAGCCTAGCATTCCCCTTCCACCCCAGTCTTTCCTTGGGGTCAAAGTCAATCTCAGCTCCTGTCGGCGAGCAACTCCATCAGGCCGAGATACTTTGATAAAGATATTTCTCTGTTGACGATTGTTAGCGTCGACCAAGGAGGTACCGGGCGATATTGGACGTACTCCTTCATTACCCTGAACACACTCTGCCACCTTTTTGAGACCATCGTGATTTGATCGGTTCACATAGCCAAAGTTGCGAATCTCATCGCCGGCTTGTAAGCCAGCCTGTTGCGCTGGACTGTTTGCCGCGACGGTGTTGACCTTTGCAAACGGCTCATCCAGCTGTTCGGAATGGGAATCCGGTAGAATTCGAAGCTCATCCCCAGCTGTACTAGGAGCTTCATCCCCATCTTGAATGTTTGCAAAGTGTTCGTGAAGATACTTTTCTATCGCCGTCATAAGTTCCTTGTAATCATTACGTAGGCGGATGATACGCGCTCTTGTTGTACGGACTGTGGCATACATGTTAGACTACATTCGTGAACAAGCTTTTCGTGTCTCATATACTCTGAGCAACGTCGAGATCTGCTCGTGGAAAGCCATCTCTAGTCAATAGCGGCGTTTGCATATCGACGCCGTGCTAGCATCATATTAATTATTGTCAACTATGGTTTGTATCAAGAATAAAGGGCGGACTCATACCGAATCAAGGACGCTTCCCAAAGCTTTGAGTTCTGCCTCCATATCGTCCTTCTTGCGCTGCAGTTCTGCGAAGCTCTGCTTCCCTGCGTCGCCGTTTCTCTGGGTGAAATTTGATGTCGGCCCAGAGGGCACGGTTGGTGCGTGAAGAGTATCCATTCTAAGCGGCAATACCGAGGCCTCAACTGGAGTGTTGAAAGAGAACCTTGCAGTGAAAAAGAGAGATGGGATTGAAGGGTTGATCTCGATGGTTTAGATGCAGATGGTTGGCGAACTCAGCACAGCTGTTTTAGAGCTTGTCATCACCAACAGCGAACATTCCGGGGCGTTTTTTGCGGGGTCCAGGAACATCAGAGGCCTACGCACTCACTGAAGCCTTCATTTTTCAGCAGTTAGAGAAAGGTACTTGGGGGTAACACTGACACCGCTCTGGATCATTGCAATTAGTGAGTTCCGCCAAGTAGCCCGTCTCTTTAGCTCGACCAGCCGGGCAGCCTTACACCATCCACTCTCTAGCTGGCCCGTGTATGTTTTCTTATACGAAGCACTAACCTCCGGCTCTTTTTCCAACTAGTAACAGCAGCACAGACGTCACCTTGCTAATCTTTCTTTATCCTGCCAACTTCTCAGACGCGTGCCATAGCATTTTTGTTGTCGCGACACAAGCCACAATGGCTTCCGCAGGAGATGCTCGACTTATGAAGTCGACCAAATTCCCTACCGAGTTCAATCAAAAGGTTGACATGCAAAAGGTCAACCTGCAGGTTATAAAAAAGTTTGTCACTGGGCCCCAATATGTCTTATCGCGGATCCCGCCTTTGCAGTCCTGACGCCCAATCTCACAGATGGATTGCCAACAAGATCTCGGAAATCCTGGGCAGCGAAGACGATGTCGTAATTGAGCTGTGCTTCAATCTTATCGAAGGACCCAGACATGTATGTTGGATCCTTCTCCCTTCGACTTTGTAGCGGCTTTCCATGTTAACTGTTTGGTCACCAGCCCGATATCAAATCGCTTCAAATACAGCTTACCGGGTTTCTAGACAAAGATACTGGGCCATTCTGCAAGGAGCTATGGAAATTGCTATTGAGTGCTCAAAGTAACCCTCAGGGAGTCCCCAAAGAGCTATTAGAAGCAAAGAAGCTTGAGCTTATGCAGGAAAAGGTTGGTGTCCCGTCGTGAGGACGTCCCACGCTTACTTTTCTGGGCCTAACAATCAACCTAGATGGAAGCCGACAGAGCTGCCGAAAATGCCAGAAAACGTCGCGACGACTCGGACCGCCGTGATCGAGAAATTGCAGAATTGAAGGATCGAGATCGTCGAGACCGAGCAAACGATAGAGGTGATCGATCGGGCCGCCGTGGGGATCGGGCTCCTGAGGGCCGTGGAAGAGGAGGCCATGGTTGGAGTGCAAATAGATCACGTTCTCCCGAGCCTCGGCACCGCGCTTCTGGAGATTCATACCGGCGAGACAGCTATGTCCCCCGAGGTCGGGGTGGCCGAGGGCGCGATCGCGATCGTGGCTGGCAGCGGCGACGAAGTCGCTCACCATCTGGGTCAGCGTCAGAGCGATCTCGATCTCCTAGTAGCAGTGCGTCTCGTAGCGATCGAGGCTCTAGAAGCCCTCCGCGCCGCAAAGGACCACCTGCACGATTTAGAGACTCGAGAAAGAGATCTAGATCTCCTCGCGGCGATGCTTATCGACCAAGGCGACAGTCGCGCAATGGAAGGGATCGCCGTGATGCTCGAAATCGACGCTCACCATCTTCAGAGCGAGCCTCACCTCCGCCGAAGCGAAGACGGCAATCTACCTCCAGAAGTCTCTCTGGAGAGCGCAGAAGACGTCACTCGGATACACCATCCTCCGTTTCGCGGAGTTCCTCGGTGGCCCGTAGCCGCAGCCCCAATCACCGTCGTAATCGATCCGTCGACAGCGCTGGATCAAATTCACACGCGAAACGCCGACAGGATCGCCGACGAGGTGGTACGACAAAGGAGTTGGAGGATGATAACGGACGTGACCGGCGGGGTGATCGTCGTCAGAAAGATCATGGAGCCCCAACCAGGGGCAAGGAATCTGAAAGGAAGAGACGCAATAGCTCCTCTCCGCCCTCGTCTCCGTCAAACCGTGGCAAGTCGGCTGATATTTTGGAAGATGAATCGCGTGCTCCGAATTCCTAGCTAGGCACCAGCCGACAACGAAGAGGTGGGTAAGCTCCTGATGGGAGGGTGAAAAGAGTAGCAACTCTAGTTCATCGCTAACTTTGCTTGAACGATGCTTGACGCAGCATAAAGCTCACCACTCTAAAGGCACACGTGCTGGAGAGATTTTGGAAACGATACTAAGCAGCTGAGAACTTCTGATACTAGCTCTCATATCAACAGTTGAGGCTAACTGCTACTAAAGCGCTCGTCTCTAGAATATGAAAGGAATGGCACGCACCTCTGCCTGGCAGAGTAAAAGAGCCAGAGAAAAAACGAATTGAAACTGGATAGAACTACGAAAGTAGATATTGGTAAAAGAAAAGCGATGCACGTTTGTCACTGAAGTTTGGTCAGTTTGAATAGGCGGCAGCTCTCCAATCATTTTAGAAAATATTACGAGCGGCAATCCATCTAGCAGATATTTTAAAGAATCATGCATTCATTATTTAATTCGTTCCTAAGTAATGCCTCTGAAAGGAAACCCACGGCTTTTCTCCACATGCCGTTTCAATACTCGAAGTCCACGCAGTCGCTGGAGCTCTGGATAGCCAACTTGGGGTGCTGGATAGCTACTCCCTGCCATAAACTGTGACAGTTTCAACACAAATTGAGAATGAAAGAGGGGAAAAGCTTGCTTTCTACTAACAACCAGGCATGTGAAATTAGATAGTTACCATCAGTTGATGAGACAACCTCCTAGATACTCTGATTGACTTATACTCGTGATGTTGAACAGCAACAGAGTTGGGCGCCACTTACTATTACCCTATTTGGCCTAGTTGGAGATCAGAGTGGCATATGCTGCACGTTCTAGCTTAGCGTCTCCTAGAGCCGGCTTTGCCTTTTGCAAGTTCATTTTCCCATGACAACATCAAAATAACCATCCGCAAAGCCATTTCCATCCGCCAGTTTGACGTTGGCATCGCTATCGCATCGACTGTCGCTCGAGATAGAAGCGCTGGCGCATGGCCGACAACAGGCAAACAATTGCATCCCGACCCAACGAGGCGCAGCCCACCATGGCAGAATACAAGAAGGCACAGGCGCGTGTGCGAGACTTGGTCGATCGGCGTAGGCAGCTGGAGCGCCGTCTGGTGAGTTTTTTTGGCTGTTCTTTTGCGCATTCACGGCGTTTGCGTAAGGCGACGCGGGCTAAAAGATGGCATTCAAATAGGCGGCGATGGAAGAGAGCATCATCCAGAAGGAGTCGGCCTACCTCGACAGCACTCCTAGCGGTAATATCATTACTGGCTTCGACAACTACATGAAAGGCACGAGCGGTGCAGCGGCACAGCGACGCAAGACAGGACCAGCGGAACAGAACCGCGTCTTTTCGCGCTCATCCATCTCATACCGACCGAATAATGGGGTAAGAATACCTTGGGAAGGGAGACTTGAACATACGAGTCTCTAGCCCTGCCGGGCTTGACTGGCATTCCCGTTCTTTGCTAACTGGATGGACTTGTATAGGATTCTTCGACCCCTGGATCAGTAGGCTCAACGCCTGCGCCGACACCCCTATCCACCACGTTCCGGGACAGCGCATCGGGCAATCCTACGCCAACATCGGCGGGCGGAAACAAGGCAAGCAAGCCTAAGAAGAGAGACACGGAAGATAGCGAGAATGATGCGGCGACGAACAAGAAGCGAACAAATTTTGGGGCGTCAAGAAAATGAAGGATATAGGCCATGGTGATGGAATTTGCAATTTAGGTGCCCGTGTCATCCCCGCAACACTATAGCTCCCAAGGATGACGATTTGACACGAGAGCGGCGTTTTAAAGGATGGGATACATTGAGGTATAATGAATAAGGCGTTGAGCAAGAGGATATATTGAGCGATATTTATAAAATATTTATAAACCATGATCATTGAAAGCGGATGCATAATAAAGGCTGGACATGGTCTTCAAAACCCAGTGTCTTATTGGTAGTGATATCTACACAGTGGACTCAACCAGTTCTATTTCCCCAATAGAGTGTTGAGAGAGAATATCTGGCGCACTCATGCCACATGCTCGCTATTATAACTAAAGTCACAACGAAACTAAATAAAATGTCTTGAGAGTGGAGATTGTTGTAAATGGAACAGACTCGAGCTAGATTTGGGACTCGGCAAGCCGGCACTGTAGCAGCGAATAGATTTGTAAGTCAGCATCCAGTCATTCGAAGAAGACAGCGGGCCTTTGCGGCGAATTTGCTCTCTTTTCTCTTGTCGGTCCGAGATGACTAGGTTGTATGCAGTAGTTCACATAGCTACTTATTTTGCTACCTTGATCTAGTATCTGCTATTATCGATATTGCATATGTAAGATGTAGATTGGAGTATTTTTGGTATTTTGGTGTTTGGTCTTGGTATCCGTCTTCCGCACTACCTGAGCACCCAGCAGTACTCGTACAGTACAGTACCTAGGTATAACCAATTCATCGGGTGTCAGTTATCACAACGACGAACCTCCACAATCCCAAAGTCGTGATACAAAAAGTCCCTTTGGCGTTCCCATTATTAATTACCCCGAAGACCCCCCAGGCTAAAAAGGTCCCCTGAGCAGTGGATTTTGATCTTAGCAGCACACGCACGCACGTCTTTTGATAGTGCGGGGTTGCAGATGAGGGGTCTGATGGGGTTTGCAGCCATCGGGGTTCTCGTATGATGTGATAAATAGATAACCATCAATTGGGCCCTGGGCATCGCTGGCCTCTTATTTTTGTTTTCTTTGCGTCGACAATTGGTCTTGAGCAGCCCTTTATGATGACAATCCAGGCCGAAAAGTTTACGCCAGAGGTGCTCCTCTCGGCGCCACGGCGCTCGCCTGGCGTGCCTAATGCCACGGGCGAGCTCGTCTTATACACGGTAAGTTTTGCGATTTGTTGGTTGGTTGGTTGGCTTGTTGGAGCTTCGCAGGGGAAAAGAGGCTTTCAATTGAGATACGCGATGCCCTGGATGTATCGCATCATCACGTGTGTAGATGAGTTGGATGAGGTTTGGATGGGATTAGATCGAATTGAACTCACACTGGCCCTCCTCTTAGGTCTCGACATACTCCTTCGACACCCACTCCAAGACGGCGCAGATCCGCGTCCTCAACATCAAAGAGGGCACGTCGCATCTGGTCTCCGAAGACTCCGCAGCCAGCGACCCAATCTGGATCAGCGAAAAAGAGATTGCCTACGTCAAGAGCCTCGACAACGGTGCCTCATCTCTGGTGGCGCAACATGTTCTCGATCCAAATGAGTAAGTGAATGAATGAATTTCCCCATTTACCGGGCCGGCTTCCAGAGAAACTCACCCCGTGTCAAATAAAGGTCAAACACCATCCAGCGCTTCAGCGGAAGCATCTCCAGTCTAAAGGCCAAGCCTTTGTCTGCAGACAAAGTGGCCTTTTGCGCTGCCGCTCTGACCACTCCCGATGGACAAATGTACAGCCCGGCTTCGGAACCAAAGTCTCACACATCAGCCAAGATCTACACATCCCTATTTGTGCGACACTGGGACTCCTGGAACACTGAAAACAAAAACTCGCTTTGGTACGGCCAGCTGGAAAAGGTTGACGGAAAATGGACTCTTGGAAACTCGGCCCTTACAAACTTGCTTGCGGGTACTGGCCTCGCCTCTCCTGTGCCTCCCTTTGGAGGTACCGGTGATTTCGATGTATCCTCGACTGGCATTGTCTTTGTTGCAAAGGATCCGGAATTGAACCATGCTAGAAACACCAAGACTGACCTATACTTCGTTCCTCTGGCTTCATTCTTGGATAAGCCTAGCTTCCCCCAGATTGTAAAGACGGGTAGATTGCTTGGATATTCAAGCTCTCCCGTCTTTTCAAATGATGGCAAGCAGGTTGCTTTCCTGCGCATGAAATCCCAGCAATATGAGGCAGACAAGACGAGGCTCTTGCTGATTCCAGACGTAACCGATCTGAGCAACGTTCAGGAATTTTACGAGACCGAGGATGACAAAGGAGGTTGGGACTTTAAGCCCGATTGGATCGTCTGGAGCCACGACAACAAGGAATTGTATGTTGCGGCAGAGAAGCACGCCCGAGTTGTCCTGTGGAAGCTCCCGTCATCACCGCTGGAAGCCAAATCTCTTCCTACCCCAATCCACGAGGACGGTTCCGTGGCGGAGGCGAGGGTCCTCGGTAGCAGCTCATCGCTGTTGATCACAACGAGGTCGCGGGTCGAAAGCTCCAACTATTCGATACTTGACCCTGAATCCAAGTCGTCTACCACCATCTCTTCGAGTTCCAAACAAGGTCGAACTTTCTCCCTGAACAGATCGCAGTGCCAGGAGATTTGGTTCAATGGCTCAAAGGGTTACCCCATTCATGCCCTGGTCACCTTGCCTTCGACCTTTGACTCTTCGAAGAAGTACCCTTTGGCTTTCTTCATCCATGGTGGTCCTCAAGGTGCTTGGGGAGACGACTGGAGCACTCGATGGAACCCTGCCATCTTTGCTGAGCAGGGCTATGTCGTTGTGAGCCCCAACCCAACTGGCAGCACGGGCTATGGCCAAGATCATACCGACGCCATCCAGAACAACTGGGGAGGTGATCCTTATGTGGATTTGGTCAAATGTTTTGAGTATCTGGAGAAGGAAGTGAGCTACATAGACACAACTAGAGCTGTTGCTCTCGGCGCGTCTTACGGAGGCTATATGATTAGTGAGTTGTCCTCAAGTAAAATAGTGATGGTTTCCGGAAGCGTGAATCTAACTATCATCAGACTGGATCCAGGGCCATGATCTTGGACGAAAGTTCAAGGCATTGGTATGCCACGATGGAGTCTTTTCGACTCTCAACCAGTGGTCTACGGAAGAGCTATTCTTCCCCGAGCATGATTTTGGTGGCACCCTTTGGGAGAACAGAGAGGGCTATGAGAAGTGGGATCCCGCCAAGCACGTTGGGAACTGGGCTACGCCGCAGCTGGTAAGCTGGATTTGAGATGGTGCCATATGTCTACTGTCACCGACTAACTCGCCCGCTTCACAGGTTATACATAACGAGCTCGATTACCGCCTACCCATTTCAGAGGGTCTGGCCATGTTCAACGTCCTTCAGGCTCGGGGCGTGCCAAGCAAGTTTGTCATGTTCCCCGACGAGCATCACGTAAGTCAAAGAGGCCTCTTCGCCCTATGATATAGTCTAGATACTGACAATGTGTGACAAGTGGGTGCTCAAGCCAGAGAATTCATTGGTCTGGCACAGGGAGGTGCTGAACTTTATCAACAAGTACAGTGGAATCTCGGAGGAGAAATAACATACCTTATACCAAACTTCTCTTTTATTTCCCCTTTCCCCTTTGCTTTTCGGATGTTTAGTTCGCGCATGTATTATAAGTTCGTGAAACATCTTTTCAACGGTAGTAACTTGAACTTGGCAAATTGCATTGTTGGCTGTGTTAGGCTTTGATGGTAGCGCATATTTCTTAAATAAAAGTAGCAAAAACGCAATTGGTCGATTTTTTCTCATTAATGAGATGAAACGAAGAGGAACACCTTGTATTTCTTTATTTCTCTATTATGAGCATGGCAAACATGAGGTACACTCGTAGCATACAGTGCAAATTCTACTGATTCAGATTGAAACTGTGCGGGTCCTTATCAGACCTGGAGCTGATCTGAACGGGTATCTCAATTCACTGATGCACCGAGCTTCGCTTTTATCAGTCCCTCCCGCTATAATAACTGGCTGCTCATTCACCACAAACAAGAGCCTCGCCCCTTGCACAATCCGCCCAGCAGTGCCGCGCACCAGCAAAATCATAGGCGAACATGCGCTGTGCGAGCTATTCTGTGCGACAGAGTCCATGACGCCCTTGAGAGCACATGCGACAGCTATAAAACGATTCTTCTAGCCACTTGGACCGCTTCACCTTTCTTCTCTCTCCCAACAAGCCTCACGAAACACACACACAACCTCTCGCCATGGCACGTCCACCATCCATGTTTCACGCTTTTCTGCGCCCTTCAATCCTACAAATCCTTCGTGCGACGGGCTACCACAGCACGCGCCCTGCAGTGCTCGACACCCTGACGGACATTGCAGCGCGATACCTGACGCTTCTATGCGAAAAGACGGCGAACAATGCGACCAACAACCACGGCGATGCGGGCGACTACGATATAGTGGACGTCAGGATGGCGCTGCAGGAGGTTGGAGCTCTGCTGCCGGAGAGAGCTGAGACGGAGCAACTATGGAAGGGAGAGGAGGATATGAGAGGAGTGGAGGAGTTTATCGAATGGTTTGCCGGGACGCGCATGAAGGAGATGATGGAGATGGGCAGTGGAGATACTGAGTCTGACGCTACAGACTATCTGGCAGGTAAGACGGCGAAATGAGGAGAAACAGAGACAATTGCGTTCTCCCACAAGTTTCTCTACCTCATTCCTTTTCCTTTTCTTCTTTTTTAATCTTGCAAACATCTGGCTAACACGGCATTTTGTTTAGCCCTCAAAAAGAAGCACAGCAAGACAGGCGACGACGCAAAATGGCAAGGCACCATCTTTGGCAAATTCAACGACGGCAACGAGATCCTCGTCGAAGGCGGCGCCATAACCAGCATCAGCGAATGGATATCCAAGAGAGCGCCGGAGTCAGACGCGCCCCACGAAACGACGGAGCAGAACGGAGACAACAAGCCCGAGGCCGCAGAGATGAGAAGGTCCCCTAGTTCGGGCCTCAGCTCCGTGGGGGACAGGCTGGATGGTGATGGTATCGAAGGCATGGATCTTAGCTAGAAGGCAAGACATGGGATTTTCGAGGCTGATGCGCCGCCGGCTCACTCTACGAGGTCGAGGAAGCAGAGGAACGGGGGGCATCGTAGTGATAGGAGGACTTGAATGGGTGCTTTTGTCGTCTTGGTGGACGCTGGGCTTTGTTTTATCATTTCCTTTTTCTTAATAACTGCATAGCGTTGGAGTTTTGGAAGGTTAAGAGAGACCTTTTTATGGAAATAATAAAGGGAGCAGTTATCCAGCCACCCAAGTTTATTATCCAGTATCCCATGTTTTACATGAGAGCTGTACGGACTAAAGAATAATTTCAGCTACTAGAGAAAAACTGCAATAGCAGCAGATACCAGAAGGATATATTTATAATAGTAGACACTAAAAGAAAGTAACGATAGAAGCAGAAAGTAGTGATAGTAGCAGAAAGTAGTGATAGTAGCAGAAAGTAGTGATAGTAGCAGAAAGTTGGCTTTTATTTATATTCTTTTTACATCCTATTCTAATACTTGAATTCCACGAGGTCACTAGGGGGTTGGATAACGAATTTGGGATGCTGGATAACATTCCCCATAGTCGCCCCCCTGGTTTGTAGTTCTCCAAGCCGTAGTATGGATTGGATGTGGGTAATGCCTGCCAGTGCCATGGCCACCCCATGAGGGGGTAGGGGGAACCATGGGGCCTGATGGGGTAGGCAACTTTGAGCCTGGGATCATCCAGGGGAATATCTCCAATCTGTCAGTCGTCTTGATGTTGGGTACTGTCGACTCAATACCCCTTCTCATTTCGTATAGCTTCTCATCGTCAACCAAATCCAGGTGTGCTGCAAGTCCTGCGGCGATGTCCGTTTCCAAAGCTCGTTGGCAGAACCGGAACGGGTGGGGGTATTCCATTAACCCCATCCATTCTACCCATTTCATCATGTGAGCGATGTATAGTATGACTGTGACAAGTCGGGGTCGTGGGGGTGGGAATGCTCGAGCTGCCTTCTTGTCCAGGTATGCCTCTACTCTAAAGTTATCTTTCTCCAACAGGTTACACTAAATGTGGTATCCCAGGAGCAGGATGGGCATAGGCGTATAGTCGTGAAATAAGAAGCAAAAAGTCTAGAGTGTACTTTTCTTAATTTACAATGCGTAAGGGATGCCTGCATGTGCTATGTCCTACTATGATACAGTCTGTCTGCGTGAGTCCCATCTATCCCAAAACCCTCGTCATTGGAGATGATCCATCCAAGTTTCGTTCCTCATATCTCTAATATACAGTGATACAGTCTATACATTTTCACCTCCCACCAGCACCCTTCTTCGGGCCCAACAGCTCATACACCCCCATCTGCCTCGCCACCTCAACAAATATCTTCCTCTTATCCTCCTCCCTGCCCTCCGCCGGCCAGAACTTCTTCTGCAGGTACGCATACAGCGCCGCGCCGCGCTTCGTATCGCCCTCGAGGTTCGCCGTGTTAAAGTCCGCCCACGCGAGCAGCTCCCGGTCAATCTCCCGCTTGGCCACCATGAGCTTGCTGCGCTGGGAGGGCGTGTCCCAGGTGAGCTTGGTGGTGCCGAGGACCATTTCCATGACGAGCGTCTCGGGAGGGAGGAACTTGAACGTTTCTTTGAACGCGGTGATGGCGACGAGGAAGCCGGCGTTGTCTTGGAGGCGGCGGAATGTGTGAAGGATTTTGCGAGCGAGTTGCCCGTCAATTCCATCGGGTTGAAATACGTCTCTGTGCTTGACGGTTTCTTTAAACATGGCTCGTGTGGCCTCGATTTCCTTGGTTCGGGTTTCAGGATCCCTGATGTGATATCGATTCGCTCCCAGTGTCTTCCAGAGTGCGCTGAATGTGTATGGGTCAGGCACTACCTTGCTGCTCTCTATTAGAGAGTGATATAAGGCCAGTGCTTCTTGAGTCTTGCCCTCATGGATGAGCGACTCGACAAGTTGATTCATCATAAAGGCGTCAGGGCTTATCTCTGCTGTGCGGAAAGCATCCCACAAACCCTCTAAGCGTCCATGAAGATTTCGTTGGCGGTAATTCTCGGCTAGAAGAGAGAATGTTTCGATAGTAGCCCGCGGTAACTCCGCTGGGGTATCCTTTGGTAATGGCATGTTATAGCTACTGGAGAGCCTACTGCCGGACTTTCTGTCGGCGACAAACTTTAGTCTGGACTCAATCATGCCCCAGCCAAGTTTATCAGCCTTTTCAAGATCCTCAGCACCCCCAGACCGTTGCCATGCCCCAATGAGACCGTTCAATTGAATCGGCGAAGCCTCAACTCCCCTTGCTCGCATAAACTCCATTACGCTGAAAGCTCCATCCAAGTCTCCAGCGCCGATGAGTCGCTTCAGCCACTTGCCCAGGAAGAATTTGTTTGCAATAACGGAAGGCAGGTGTCTTTGCCTCGTCATATCAATCCGGCCGTCGCTCATCATGTCCACGAAGGCGTACAGGGCATTCTCAACTTGATGGGCAGTCAGGAAATAGGAAATCACCTGGTCGTAGTCTGTAAGTGTCATTTCTTTCCCAAGGAGCTCCCTCATTTGGCGATAGGTAGCCCACGCCTTCTGTCGACCTTCCTCCGTTCCCTGTTCGCAGCATGTTCGGATAAGAGGAATCAAGATACGCGGGCTCATGTTGCGGCCAAGGAGCTTCTTTATCGCTCGTTCGGCTTGCGCCAGATCGCCTACACGGCAGTACATCCTGGCGCCAAGCTCCCAAAAGTCTTGGAATGTCTCTGAATCTTCGGCTCCCAGTGTGCTGATACATCGTTTCCAATTTTCAACGGCCTTGGACTCCCATCCGTCGACAAAGATGGCTTCAATGGCTAGGACCTGTTGAGCAGGATGAAGGGTAGCCTTGGCATCGCTCATGTCTCTAGCAAGCCGGGCTATCCGTGATATGCTGCTGGGGCTATCTTTTTCACTCGAGAATGCTCTCCAGAGGACCTCCCACAAAGCGGGTGGAACATCGTTCCAGTTCTGGGCTAACGCCGGTCTCGTCGCGTGATACGACTTGTATAGGGATTGCACTGCTTTTTGCTTCAGCCCTGATTCCTTTTCCGCTAGGATGAAGCGTGATACAACGGAGTTGAATGTGTTGAGTTTTCGCCTTCGGTTTGGCTTTGTCTCATCGAGGTTTATGCGGACTTGTGGTATCGAGTCTCGAGGATTGCCGGAAGAATCGACATCTTCCAACGATAATTCAGGTACGTCCCCGATGAGCTGTTCTAGCACTCCTCTCGGTAGATCAGTGCTCGCTTGTTCTATTTCGGCATCGATCGACCGTGCGTAATCTTCCATCTTTGCTATAACCTTCTCGACATCTTCTGCAGAGTTAATCTTGCCCCAGTCTTCGCCCATAACCTTCAGAACGTCCCTAAAGGCATCTCCATCGTCTTGATTGCCGAATTTTGCCCTGAGGTTGACGAGATCGTCTCGCAATTCAGAGGCGCCGATACCACTTAAAGACTCCTCGAAGGCTTGTTCGTTGGACAGCTCTTTTCGATTTTGGTCGCCCTGCTCGAAGAATCTGACGGAAAAGTCTTCCGCATTGGTCTTTGCCTTGTCGGGGGTTCGCAGGTTTTTGAGGCCCTCCAAGTAGCGAGCCATCTCCTCTCTCGTAGGCTGGCGCGTGATGTCCTCATTGGGCCGTGATCGAGTTCGTAGCCTTGCTTTGCTCGCGGTTTGAGAGGCTTGGGTGCTGTATGAAGCCGGCCACCATGCCTGTGGAGGCTGCTTTGCGCGACCAGCCAAACATGAGCGGCAGACGATGTCGTTTCGACACCTGAGGTCGCGCAATATCGGCCGGCATGACATTTTTTTGTAAAACAAATAAAGCGTAGTGCTTCCAGCACTCGCTCACTTGAGCATCCGGAACTTTTTTTTTTTTCGATGATCAAGATTGTTGCGATTGCCGTACCATTAGCGGATTTGCTCCCCACCATGGCGTTATCGATAAGCGCCCGCTTGGTGCTCCAGAAGTACCCAAGTACAGGTACCTACCCACAGATCATCGGCGTCTTTGAGCCTGCAATTACGTATGTTTTATGGATTCAATGATTCTTTTGTTTGTATTGTCATTATTTTACTTCTAGTGTGGTCCATTTATGGACTTGTGGCTACAAGTTCATTATTATCGCATCCAGATCTATCTGTTGTAAAACAGCCTGTGAACAATTTACAGAGAGGCGTCCTCAATTTATCTCTTGGAACAACTGTGGATAAAGTACGTCACTCTCGCTGCTTTTTACAAGATAACGGCCCGTTAAGAGTCTTCTTTTGTATCTTAAGCGTGTACACAGTTATTGTAGAGGTGATTTGGGAGAGTCGTTGTTCCATATTACCCCAAGTGTGCTGCCAAGTATCTGTAGTAGTAATTAAAGGCTTCCTTCGCATCCTATCTCGTCACTTGAACTCTACGTGATCGCCGGGCTTCTGGATAGCTAACTTGGGGTGCTGAATGGGTTGTCGCCTCTTATTTTAATTCTCTGCAACGTCTGAACCTCTTTTATGGAGTCCAACAGTTCTCAAGCATTGGAGGGCGTCACAAGCTGACAGCATAGCGCAGGGTCGCTTGTACGATACTAATCATGTATTATGTTTACACTGAGCTCAATCTGTTTCCCATTCCAACTCCACAGGCTTTCTTTATCCGATGCGCACGGTAACCTAGGATAGAGAGATAGATATAACACGGGCCGCAATAACAGCTCTCATGTTCCAGGACGCCATCATATATACAGGTGTTACAATTTATTTGGCATTTCTTCCGAACGTACTAATGGTAATAAATGGTCAGATAGGCACATAGACTAAATTAGACGGCTTGAATGAACTAACTTGTGGAAAAATTGGCCAAAGATGCCTGGTTTGGATTGTTGGTCGGTCATACTCTGACGCCGGGCAGTATTGCTGGCGTTTCGGTGGTGTTGAGAGAGGCCCTCAAATGCAGGCATGAAGCCGGAGCTCTGGACAAAAATCATCAGTACGCGGGTTCGGTGGGGGTTCGGGCCAAGGGTATGTATGAGACGTACTCGACGGCGGGTGCCCTGGTTTGCCGGAGGGGTTGGGTTCTGCTCGGGATTGTTCATATTGGCTGAGGATGAGGATTTCAATTGTCAAGATTGAAGGATTCTGTTGCTTTGAATAAGATGAAGATTGATTAGGATGCAATGGGTTTGGGTATCAACTTGGAACAGAAGAGAGGGGGGGAAGGAGGGGAAGCTTCCTTATGTAGCTTCCGTGAGAGAAGAGAGCGAGCCAGGACAAGCTTTCTGACCATCCAATGACGCCGGCCAATGACCATATCGGCTCGCCACACCATTCGCACACCGTCAAGGTCTCGATTGACATGCCGTTTGGCTGGCTTGCGGCTAGAGGCTCGATCGGCGCTAACATGGTATCAGCAGCCAACCAAGTTGTATCCGGAATTAAATTGCCAGGCGGCCGGAGTGGGAGAGACAAGAAGAGGGGTGATCGATACCTAAACCAGGCGGCTTGGATTGGATAAGCCATGGCAAATGGTTCGATATTGTTTACAAATGCGCACGAGACCTCGCATGTTCTGTAGCATTTGTGCGTTATGCTCGAACTGTAATAGAGGGTATGCATGTACAATGTGTAAGCGGACAGTTTGGGATGCTACTGCTACGTTTGAGAACGCTGAATCCTTCAAGATGGAGCTATACTATCACTACTTTCTTTTAGTTATCTGCTACTATGGCTACATTTCTCTAGTATTTACTACTATTGCTACCTAATATGTTCTTTTATGAGCTGACAATCTTCACTGGCCATATTGGTGTCTCCCAACCTGCTTGGCACCAGGGTGTCGAGGGTGTGATGGTTCAAGGCACCTGCATCAATCGCCGCGATGCCCATCATCTCGACCTCGCCTCAACCATCTCACTTTCCCTGCCCTGTCGACTTTCCCTTCCAGTGGCGTTTGATGCCATAGCGTCATCCATCGTTCCGTGACGTATGTCAAAGACACCGGGCAACGTCCATGTACAAGGCCCATGTATGCTTTCATTGGCGTTGATTCATGTACCGGCTTGGTGTGGAGCTGCGTGGGGCACGACAAGACCCTGTATTGCGGGGGAAAGACCCACGTCGGCAACGGAGTACGTACCGAGAGGCCCGCGAAAGCTGTCGGTCGGATTTAGTGTTGATCCTGACAGTGGTCAGCTAAGCCACCAGGAACCAAGCAGAGGTAACGAATGCCAGACCGAGACTCCACCATCGAGCTGCTCAATGGCTTGATCTTGATCTTGATATCCTCCAAGCTATTCCCCCGAGTATCCAACCGCGAAACAATACCCACCCAGTGCAGATTCTCCGAGCTCGAGTCGTCCTGGGCCTGCTTCAATGCAGAGCATACCCCTCTGCCGAGCCGGACGGTGACAGGCGACTATGAACCATGATGCCGCGTCTAGCTCCTCCGCGCGGATTCCCGACCGGCTCTCACCACCTGGCGTCGGTGCAAATGCCGATGCCGATGACGCAGAGGCAGATGCGGACGCTCGTGATCGCCCCCAGTCGCGGCAGCGCTCGAGGTCCAGCAGCGGGCGACAGCGCAGGAGGAGGGGGAGCCGGAGGAGCAAGAGGAAGCAAAATCCGGGGCTGGCCAAGAAGCTGGCCTTTCTTACCCATTTGCTTAAGACTCTCGACCTCGTCTTATTTGCTGAGCTGAGCTCTTTGTACTATATGGAGTGCGTTTAGGCGGATAGACCCCCTTTTTTCTCTCCATGTCAGGATTCTTTGAGTAACGATAAGCTAACATGCTCCCTCATATAGGTGTTCCATGTTTCGATTTTTCTTACGAGCCGCGCCCCAATACATGTATCTCTCCCCAAAAGACGAATCATTCGCACTTTTGATGCCGGCTACCCAACTCCACGTCCTCTTGATACTAGTGCCCAACCTGCTGTGCATGGCATTGCATCTTTTTGGTTCGCTTCCTACCGGCCCCGATTACCACCGAGGATACCAGCATGGGGGGATGGTTATCGATTTTATCGGCCAAATGCCGGCCACTTATAGACTGTATTATTTAATGGCAGACGTGCTTATCCTTTTCCTTCAGTGTCTGATGCTTACAATACACAATCATCGGGAGAGCCTGCGTGTTGCTCTCAAGACATTCCGCCCGCTTCTCTCTGAGATCTTTCTGGAGCCTGTCGCTGGTCGTTCTGCAGAAGACTTGGACGCGGAGGAACGCGGGGTTTCTCGACACGTGCCGGGAATGATGATCAATGAGACGGATGAAATCGAGCTGCAGCAGCTGGACAGACCGGGGGATGGCGAGGGATCTGAAGACCGGAGCGAGCAACCTGGAGCTGCGGGTGGAGATGGCTCTGACGAGCCACCAAGGACGCATTTATCCGACATTATGAGCTCCGGCAACGCTGTTCTTAACGAATATCACATCATTCACACACTGAGGAACGCTGCAATGAACACTGGAGGTTCAACGGCGTTGTCTCTGCAGTCGATTGGCTATCGAGCAACCGTGGCGAGTATGCAGGGCCGACGCCGAGGGGCGACTCTACAGACTTCGTTGGCTCGTCCGACCGGCTAGAATATATATGTATTGATATATACTAGTATCCATACATGAAACGACAAACCAATTAATCCCAAAAAGCAAGCCTTGCAGACCAATTTTTATATACCGCTGTGATTTCGCCAAAGGGGCACCAGGGGAAACCCTCCCCCGTGAAATTAGTTAATCTAGTCTAGGCAACTTTTCTTCCTACATTACCGACGCCAGTACCCTTGACGGAGATGATTATATCGCCGCTGTCGTCATCATCGACGTCTCGTAGGCCCCAGCTACTTGCGCCGAATGTCTTCAAGTCTCGTGCGAGCTCAATTATTTCCTCCGAGGCTAGGATATCTCTGCCAATCCTCAATCGGCCGACATCTTCAGAGCCCATGGCCATCAGAGTCAGCACAGAACCTGCTGAAACAGGAGTTACGCAGCCTCCCTTTGCAATTGTTTCCAGCAGCTGATAGGCGCATCTCTTTCCAATATCTTCAGGGACCTCTCCACCCGAAGGCAGCACGACGACATCTGCCGAGTACAGCACTCCAACAGAGTTTGACTCCGCTACGAGACTCAGACCGTAGCCTATACCTAGTCTTCTCTTGCTGCCTGCCTTGTCTCCCGTAGGTACCAGCGGCGCTTGGTCGTATTGCGCTGCGATGTGAATATCCGTGACGAAAGGGTTCAGAATCTCGCGGGCGGAATGTATCATGCGTGCATTGTTGGAAGCTGAGACACCGGTGCAGTACGCCACACCTCGTATCCTCTTGACTCGGCCGGGGCTGCGATGCAGATGCAGCGTCTTTGGCAGACGGACTTGGCTGGCGAAGCGCAGCTCGACGATGCCGCCACCACCTTTACCTCCAGGCCCCGCGCAGGAGCGCTGCAGGACGCGCAGTTCGATACGAGCCGGCGGGATGCCAAAGAGGCCGAAGAGGGGGAGGATGGCGGTGCGGAAAGTGTCGACGGAGACGTCGCCCGTTTCGGTGGAGGAGGTGATGACGCCGGGGCCGGAGAAGCGCACGTTCATGTGCGCTTTGGAGAAGGGCGCGAGGAGGCAGAGCGGCAGCAGGAAGTAGGAGATGCCCCTGGTGCAGGTGACGGGGATGCTGTGCTCGATTACGTCTCCGTCGGCGGCGCCGAGCCCGGCAATGGTGCCCGTGATGAGGCCCGGGTGGTATGTGATGGTTGTTCCCGAGTACGAGATCTGCATGGAGGAGCCGTTGGTGATGGCCTCGAGGAGGCGCAGGAAAGAGACCTCGTGCGGGGCGAGGCCCGGGTTCGTGGGTGAGGAGCTTCGGATCTTGGAGATGTGGATGGGACGGCCGGTGAGGGTTGCGATGGTGAGGCGGCGGGTGAAGGACCGGTGGCCGGTGAACCGGAGGTATTCAGGCGAAGAGCCCGACATTGTGGTGGCTCTTTGTGTTCTTCTCCGGTATCTTTTTGTGATTGTAGAAATTGGTGTATGGTTTTGGTGTTGGTATGCTCGGGGAGGGGAATATTGGGGTATATTTCGTTGTTCGTCGCAAGATTTTGGTGGTTTGGATGGGCGAGGAAAATTATTGTTTTCTGCCGGTTGATTGGTTTTCTGTGGCTTGGAAGGGTAGGCGGTGGGCGAATTTGGCTTAGCGCAGATTTAGCCCACCTGCTCTGGTTCTCTTTATAGACAGCAGTACTCCGTAGTTGATACAGTGCTTGCAGCATCATTTTGAGAGAAAAAGTAGAAAAATGAAGTAAGAAAGGAGCCCAATCAAGTGCAATTGTAATTCCTTGAGCATTGATTGAATATGTTATCACAGGAGCCATTTTGCGCCATATCTTGGTCAACTCACGTCTCACATGCCGGTTGAAATCTCATGCTTTTTTATTTCAGCAAATAACATCAAAAGGTACTACAAAATTTCAAACCAATGGCCCATTGTCTGCTTGTACAACGCCAGTAATGCTCTTTTCGCAAAAATGATCAGAAGCTTCTATAGTCTAAACCCTGTATAGAATTCCTATTTGAGCCTCCTTGAGCAGACGAGAATAAGTAGCAAGACCCATCATAAAATCAACGCCGCGCTTGAACTTTTGTGTATTACGCTTTCACCATGAAAATCTACCATGTCGATTAGTGGGCTGTTTTCTAAAACTAGAGCAGATGTAAATACCTGATTCAACGCCTGAGCATCCATGAATGCAGCCCTCTTTTGGGCAATAAAGCGGGACCGAGGAGTGACAAAGCCGCCTCTGGGTGTTGATGTGCCCGTGGTAATTGGAGTAGCTGTTCCTGAACGTGATGCTACGGCAGACGAGGCATCAGGCATCTCCGTATCGGATGTGTCGCTCTTCTTTCGTTTCTTCTTGTCCTTGTCCTTCTTGTCCTTCTTGTCCTTCTTCTCTTTCTTCTCCTTTTTGTCCTTTTTGTCCTTCTTAGAGCTCTTTGAATTTTCGGGGCCGCTGTTTGAAGCTGATGATGCGTTATTCAGCGCATCATCCAACTCCATGGCATCTTCGTCGCCATCCTCTTCAGTCAGAGCCTTGTCCTTCTTCGACCTCTTCTTTTCTTTCTTCTCCTTTTTCTCCTTTTTCTCCTTCTTCTTCTTGGACTTTTCTGAATCGCTGGATTGGTTTGAATCAGATTTCGCGAGCTTTCTAGCCCTTCGCTCTTCCTTTCGCTGCTTCTTCTTCTTCTTCTTCTTCTCATCGTCTTCATCATCCGCAGACAATTCGTCGTCATCTTTTAGTGACGCAGCCTTTCTCTTCTTGGACTTCTCCTTCTCCGACTCCTTGGTAGCCGCGGGTATCTTCTCGTCTGCCGCTATAGAACTTTCTGATTCGTCTGAGCTGTCATCCTCCTCTTGCATGTTGTCGCCAACCAACAAGCCACCTCGCACGAACCTCATAGGTCCCCATTTCTGCTCCACGTACTGGTGCATCTTCACCTCCAATCTGGCTTGCCTCTTTTCTTCCACTTCAGCCTCGGATTTTCCATTGAGGCGACTCAGCAGGTCTGAGAAGACGTCGAGACCGGTCACTTCGTCCTCCTTCGACTTGCTGTATCCGAGACCCTTCATGTCGTCTTTGAGAGATACTCGGATATACGACGCATTCGCAGCGGTGTGGTACTCAGAGTGCGCCGCGTTCTTGGCGCCTAGGAACTGGCCAGGCTCCCAGCCTTGCGATCTCAGCATCTTCTGACCAAAGGTGGTGGTGTCGCGAGTCCATCTTGTGTTGTTGGGATCGTTCTGGATTCTCTTGCGCCTGCATTGAGGTTAGTGCTTTGCCTGAGCGACGAATTGCTCTTTCAAAGACTCACGACTTTGACTCAGCAAGCAGCCCCATCTTGTTGACTTTTGAAGAGCCGGCAGCTCTCGTGATTCTGTGTTTGTATGATTCTGCACTTTTGGCGGCCTTGAAACTGATTGCGAAGTATTGGGCGGGCAGAAAAAATAAAATGTGGGGTTGTCGCATCTTATCGCGTACGTTGATTGGTCAATACTTTATTGGTAGGCTTGACCGAAATAGGCCTAAAAGTCCTCTAGACCCCTGTAAATCTTCACCAAATGCTCAATGGATTGAAGATACACCAACTCTTTTACACACGGAGTGGCTGTTTAGCATCCCAAGGTGGCTGTCGCCGAACCCGTTCTGAAATTTGAATTTAGTGGAAATTAACAAATACTAAAACAGCATAGGTAGACACAACAACAGGTACGAAAGAAATATAGATATAAGCAGTAGACACTAGAGAAATATAGCTGGAGTAGCTGATACTCGAGAAAAGTAGAGATCACATCAATCGATTGAGGTCGCAGAAAGGGTGGCTATAATTTGATGGACATTTGGGGATGATGAAGCGGCAGCGGAAATCGACCCGTCTCTCGGGCATTTTCTCCACTAGAAGCACTACACCTAGGAGCAGACTATAGAGATCTACGAATATAACTAGTGATATCAGATATATATTACTCATGCTAATAGTTTAGATAGGTAAATATTATCAAAGACTCCATTTTAGCCGAAAATAACATCAGGGTTACCCGCCTGACCCTGTATAGTACATGATTGGTTAGTAACTTATTCACTCTTACTTTTAGAGACAGGCGACTTACAAAAACTTGCAACTTCCGCTGGTATATCTTCCATTGCTTGCCATCAAAAACAAGGTCATCCAAAAAGGTTTGGTATGACGTATATATTTGACCTTCGCGAGCGCCGTGGCCGAAAAAGGTAGCAATCACGTACGTGGCCACTGAAGCGTTGACTGTCGTTGAGATATTTACGCTTTGACTGCCAAAATGATGCATAGTGGTGTAATTCTGTGCTGTTCGAGACTCCGAGAGACTCTCGACGAAAGCTGGAATCCCACGCGTTGGCTGGGCGCCAGAAGCACTATAGTCGACGAAAACATCATCTGTGAAGATAATATCAAAGAGAGTATAATCTGGCGTATCGACTCCGAAGGGGTATAAGTCCACGACTGACCGAACATGAATGGAAAGGTCTGTTTCGTTGCCAACTATGATGCCACACGCACCATAGGTTGGCATAAGGGAAAGTAAAGTCAGACTAAGTTGTGTCAGTTTCATATTGATTGACTATTTGTATACTATGTCGATTGTTAAGGCGATAGAGGCGAATTCCTAGATTGAGGGTGCGGGCACGTTATTGATATAGTTTTGCCAAACCGCTTGCGCCAAGTTTGCAGAATCCACTATACGGGTGCCTCGGGGGCAGCTAAGTGTTCCATACGATCCGGTTGATCGCAATAGTACATTCCCTTTTAAGCAGTTAGTTCTGGCACAGTAATTGCTACAACTCCGATTATTGGCCTGATCTTTTGTTCTGTTTGCCGCTACAGTATGACAGAACGTAACATTAAGGTGATATTACTCCGTACAGGGATTTGATTTGGCTCCTTGGCCGGAGCATTAAGAAAACACCGAGACCGATGGCGAATGAGCGCATGCCTTTGATGTGAAATAGATTATCTCGGACCAGACTTGCGCTAACTATTTGTTACGACCCCAGTCTGGGTGGACTATTACTTCTAGGGGCATGCTTGATAATCTGTCACTATTTTTATCGGCAATCAGTAATATATCTATTGCAAGCATTGGCTCAAGCATCTTGGGCTTAGCTGAAACTTGTCAGACGACCTCTGCCGTTGCGTCATCAATAAGCTCTACTTGGCACTGATCTTTGTCTTCAGGAGTCTCGTCTATTGGCTTCTCAGGGTTATTAGTAGCCTTTTCCTATCCACATGGATAGATACAATTGTCTGTAGTAAATTGCAATTAGCAGTAGGGTAGTAAGTACATGCATAAATACCATCACTTCTATTCAAGGTATGGAGTATACATGTAGGTAAGCTTCTGTTCAAATCACCTCACGCAGCTCACTTTGAACCCCCCTATTACGCCTGTCAGTGCCATGGATAGGACTGTTTGTTCATCTGTCTCAGCTTCCATTTCTTACTAGTGACTGTCACTTTTGCCCACTTAAGTGATATATTGCCCCATCGGCGCTTTACCTTTATATCTATCAAAGGCTCATCAACAGGAACATCGAATGCTAGCCAAGTGTTCTCTGACTGCTTTCGACATATTTCACATTGGCAAAGTTTTGAGCTGTCTAAGAGCTCAATGTTGCGAGAAGAAACTAATGATAGTAGTGGGGAGAAGTCTAGTAGGCTATGTGATAAAAAATCTTTATTCAAGTCATTACCTCAGTTACTCGGCGAATATAACTCGCTACGGAGGAAGACGACCAAACTGGGCAAGATGGCAAACATATTTTCCATAGTGATGTACTGGATCTCTATCCATCACAGGAGCCCTACCGGCTACAAATCGTTGACCGTCGTAAATCTATCCAAAAGCGTCATACGGGCAGCATCCGTTGCCTTATCGCAAGAATCGCGGCTGACGGACGGCGACGCGACCAATTAGGAGATGGGAAATGCGAGTTGGCCAATCAGCAGATGGAAAATGCGAGCTGCGGGCCGCTCCGACGGCCTCGTCTCAGCAAACCAGGAATTCCTGCACCGGCCAGCCTTCTAGCTAGATCTACCGATGGTCGACAAAGGCGCGCCGGAGATGGGCATTAGCAGCTTTCCCATCCAATTTGATGTATCATGGCTGAGGTCATCGCACGTACGCCCAGTGGTGGCATCAGAACAGTTCGTCTCCCAATTGGCCCAGTATAGCATGCACGTAGGTGTTTAGCAGCGGCAATCCCTGCTGGCGTCCTTGATCCGGAGGATGCTTGACCCGTTCAGAGCGCAGCAGAGGTCGTATACGAGTACTAACAAGAACACAACGATACACATGTTGATGCTCGTCATGTCCACTAGGTGGGTTACTGTTCATGCTGCCGGGTCGCGCAAGAACTGCCCGGTCCAAGTTTACACGATGGCTTGACGGAACTGCCTGCCCATGCGAATCGGTATGGGGGAGTGGACAACTCTACGGCTTATTGCGAGTAATTCTACTCCGTAGTTGCTGAATCGATATAGCTCCAGCCAATCATGAAGTGGTTGATCCGAAGCGACCAGTGGATAGGTAGTCAACAATAAGTCCAGGGACCGCCTACCTCATTACTTCAATGTGCTTCCAGTCACGTAAAGCGCCATGATCGCACTCATTTTTCCTACAGCTTGTCGGCCAGACTCTCAATTAGCACCTACGTCTCTGATTCAGCTTTGTTCGACGAGGATACACAGATAGAGCCGGGCCGTTATTCAGCACTACGTTCAGGTGTAGAGGGAGGTGTGTCTGCAGGCACTATAAGTGAAGTGAATCGTAGGTGCTTTGTAGAGAGGACAGCTTTCGAGGCTGTCTAGAGCTTTGAATTGCTGACAACTCTTCGGCCTGTCGATAGCATGGGCTGTCATCTCCGCAGAAACGCGCCTTCATCGATTGTCGTCCATCTCGCTAGGTAACAAAGCCCAAGCCTTTTGAGTCGTCGCTCGCAATAGATACACTACTGATTGCCGATTAAAATACCGCACAGCAAAACTATTCCTTGTTAAATAGCATACTTATAGCCACACAGTCGAGACATATATGGACCTAATTCGGTCGAGTGGCTGAAATGGATGAAATAAAATCCATGTACCCTAAACCCGCCCTAGAAGATTGTGATGGTACAAAAGCAGGAGGTGATGCTTCACACGTGTATGGAGCACAGGCGTACATTCAACGTACGCGTATCTCGGCAGTGCATTGCTCCCGCACAAGACGATGCTCAGAGCGTACTAGCAGCATGCACTCTGCAACTAGCAGCATGCAAGGTATCGCAACCTTGGAAATGCGGTATTGGAGTTCCAGTCTAAGTGGGCGGCCGTTTTAAGTTATGGGACATGAGAAAACAGAAAGCAGACAGACGTTCGTCATGCGTTTATCCATATTGCCGCGCGGCTCGTCTTAAAAATAAATAGGGACCGCAAAATGAATATATGCATACCAGAGGAGATTACGAGTACGATTCTGGAGGCGTATAATAGTGTGGTGCGTATACGTGCGGATTGTCTGTTTCTGTATGTTGATTCCGTCTATTCTTTGCTGCCAAGCTGGCTTATCTAGGGGTCCCTGGCCACTCCACCATCCCTTTTTCTTTATTTCCGGGGTTGGACATGCATGCGCCAAAGCAGCGCCCTCATAGGAGCATTTTGTAAACGCCGATCCCCTTAGCGGCCAGCCGCGGACGACATGAAGCTCATGGGTCTGTTCACGCGCCGGTACCAACAAGGCAAAGAGAAGAAAAAACAGCCGCCTTGGTGGTGAAGAGACCCGCCTCAAGAGCCGAACGGTCGTCCACTGGGGTTCACATGCCGCGGCGTGTGCCATTTGGGTTGGCCCAGACGCTTTTGCGACTCGTAGTTTTTGGGGCAGCCAAGCGAGAACATGAACGTTGAGGAGTGCCACAGTTAGTGGGCTGAGAACTGGATCCAACCCATGCCGGGATGAAATGCGGAGCCTGCTGTAGGCCTTGGAGATCTCCAAGACGATGAGATGGGGCTTTGCTATTTAGATAGCGAGAGACTTGCTGAGTGGCCTGGAGGTGATGGTTTGTGTCAGGTAACGTCTTAAAGGCCATGATTCATAATCGATGCCAGTGACGCGACATCTCGGGTACTCCAACCATAGTCTGCATGTCATTTGTTTGACCGCCGAGAAAAAGCAGAGGCAGGCCGTGGCTAAATTTCTCATGTTTAGTTTGTGATATCCAGCTGATAGACTGCAGAATGATGTAAACGGTGTTGTTCAGTTGTCAGAATATGTATGTGTGGTGTAGTGTGTAAGCCGCTAACACACCGATATTCATTGTATTTCTGCGTCACACATGAGATCCAGCTGCAACAATGTGTATCTCCCGAGACTAACCAGGCTTTTTGAGACAATAAAGCCCATCTTAGGCAAGCATAGTTCATGCACACAAAGCCTACCTAGTCCTAGCTTCACGTTAGAACGCATGTCGTCGTGATACTACAGAGTAGTGCGGCGTCTTAGTACATGCAGCCTTTGGTTCAAGTGCTCCATGTCTACTGTTTAAGCCTTGCAGAAGCAATGAGGGATTTGCACATATTTCAACGTCCATTTCTTGAGAGATACCTCTTTGTACGCATGGGCAAACGTGGATAGCTTCTTCTTTGCAGGAGGCTGTGTATCTTCATCTTCTCGCCGAGTTCTTGTCTTCATGCCTGCCTGTGCTGACGACAGACACATTCGTCTCCCCTTTACACTAACAGCTTAAGGTAGCCTTTTGTTTAATATACAGTGCCCTGCGTATATGCTACTACCGCTACTTTCTTCTAGCACCTGGTGTTATCACTTCATAGCTTCAAACTTGGAACAGTGGATACTAGAGAGCCACTCCCTACTTCCACGACAAAATAAACCAAGTAGAAAAACTACCAAATCACTTGAATCATGGGACATCTTTATTAAAATGGGTCTGGCAGCCTTGTTTCCAGTCACATCATCTGGCACATGGTGAAGTGCATGGCCAAGTTAGTACTAAAAGAGCATACTGGCACCATGAGCATTGCCAAGAGGGTCTGGGGTCTTCGGCGTTTCAACGAATCCAATTACTCGCTCGAAAACACGCAGCCTCAGATCGCAGGTAATTTCCTTTCCATGCTACCTTTAGAACCCACTAACGACTTATTGTGGGCAGAATCGTGTGCATGGGATATGGCATCTCCTCCTCCCTGGCCCAGCTATCATACGTGTGGAGAGACTTGCCGTATCCTCCTCTCCGCCCCTACTGCCGGTGTTAAGGATTCATTGGCCATGTAGCTTATAATAAAGAGTGTTGATATGCGTATGGTACCATACCCGGTGCGGGTAGCTACTTTGTAGATCCAGGTTTCCGTTTCTGCCTTTGACCGGGGCTTAGACTAGGTCCTGCCCTCATCTCTTGGATACCATCGTTCCCTTTTCTTCTCTTCTTTCTTTTCGATTTTTCTCTTTTCTCTTTCTTCTTCTTTTTGGTTCGTTAGGGCCTGCATCTGTCGAGTATTCTGCTTGGAAGCGTGCATTCTCGT